TTTTTTTTCTACTTTGTTCTTCATTACTCATATAACCCTGAATAACCCTTCCCAAGTCTAAGTTTACATAGAGCGTACAAAGTTTTTTTCCTGGTATTAAAAAGCTTAAGACTTTGTGGCATGTCACTACCCACAGTGATGGAAGTTTTATTCTTGTTTATATGTCATATCCAGACTATGTTGCATTCTAGTTCTTATGCACTACTACAACACAGCAGGGTCTGGACTACAAACCACAGGGAATATTTCAATTCAATCAAGCGCTTCCTTTACTGTCATTTAATCAAAAAAGATGTTATAGTGTCATTTTTATTAATTTTTTGTAAGTATAAGCAAGACTTATCTGGATTCACCACAAGAATTAGTCATCTTTCTTATTTTCAATTATATATTGTTCTCCATGTACTAGCTAATAATAATGATAATAACTGAAGAAAATTAATACATTTCTGACTGTAAATTCCCTTTAGTTACTGATAATACTTCATGTCCAAGTTATTTGCTACTGTTTAAGATACTTGGAGATGCAGGACATTATTAAAAACAAATACAAATACCAACATTCATTATAAAGATTTGAACCAAAAAAATTATATTCTTAAATCGAAGGTTGTGATATGATAGTAAATAAAAACAGAGGCAGAAAGAAAGAAAAAAAAAAACCAGGGCTGTAGTGCATAGAGCAATTGATATGGAAAATTTCTAGTTCTACCAAAAATGTTAAAAAAATACACATCCTCTCCCCCACCAAAAATTACAAAACTCAAAAAAATATAATATTTCAGATTGGATTAAAACAAATCCCTTTCACATTGAATTGAAAAATAAATGTGCAAATCCAGCCAAATTTTCCTTGATCAGGAAATATACACTCCACTTTGGGAGAGTCAACTGATGCGGATACATTGTTTGAAAAACAGTCAGAAATAATAAAATATTTTTTAGAATTCACTTTGCCTCCATCCAGAAGAGCTTTTGGCAAGTAAGCAAATCTTACATCAATATACACAGCTTCACATTATCTGAATGTGCAATTTTCGGGAAGTATCTAAGTATAAAATGAGACTAATTTGAAATGATCTCCTAAAAGAACACTGAAACAATGGATGAAAAATGGACTAATGCAGATAAAGTTCAAGTAGAATAATCCTTTCTCAAAAACTACCTAGGAGACAGGCATCCACAGCCCACATAGAGCCAAGTTTTCAGTATTAACAGCTCTAACACTCTACTTGATCATCAACTTTACAGAAGCCCATCATAAAGAATGTAATGACATTATTATTACACTTTAAACCTTTGCTCAGTCTGTGTTGTATGTATCTTCCAATAGCTAGTTCACACAGAATAAAAATTTACTCCAGTATTGGGCATATCATTTAGATTTAATTATAGCAGTTCATCCTTTTTGCCCTGCTTTATCAAAAAACTATACAGAAGTGTTTAACAAATAGGGTAGTTCCTCAAGTTGTCTTTGCTCAATTTGAGGAAGCCTAGTCCTAATTCAAATGTTCTAGAGTGCTGACTCTTTTTTGGGAAGTGCTGGTTTCTGTTGCTAATGCCTCATAGGAGTGGTTTTGGGAAAACAAAATGGTAAAAAAGGAGAAAAATTAATCACTACATAAAAAAATACACATCTGTTACAAGATTCTGATGTATATGAAAGGAAAATGGAATAGAGTACTAGTAATCAAACCTGTTTATATAATTTTTTTCCATTACTTTATGCAACTGTTGCTAGGCAGTCATGTGCCATGGTGATGAGTGGAGTGTGACTACCTAGACAGATTAGAGAGACATATGTTACTGAACACATTATGCATGGTGTGTTTTCTCTCTAGACAGCTGTATAAAACCAAGATATCAACTATTTTTCCTCCCCAAGAGGACTGCAAGGTCAGAAGGTTCAGAGAAATAATTCAAGGGGTCTGACCTTGCGGCAATACAGGTATCACTTTCTGCTCTTGGTTACACAGTTCTCTCTAGTGACTTAAAACAGACAGAGTGAATGTATTACTGCATTTTAAATAGAGGTTTAAATGAATAGAATTATTTTTTTTTAAATCTGCACTTTTTATAATGGTTTTACAAGGCATGCAATATACTTCCTAAGCGGGTTTATAAAACCTGCTGTATTCTTTCCAGAATCAGCTAGAAATACAGAATATAGAAATTTAGAAAGATCTGTATTGGAAAGGTGATTCACTCTCTTAGTTTTAGAGACTGACCTACCATGTAAGAAACTTGTAAGAAGAATATCTTAAGAAGGTAATTCAAGCAACTGTATGGGGGAAAATTTTAGAGAACAAAAGTCATATAAATTCTTTTCTAAATAAATGCCTTTCACTCCCAGCATCCAACTTGAAATTATTGCTTCCCAATCAGTAGTGTGTTTAACATAAGCAATAAAAATAGTGGCTACAAAGAACATGGGAAAGGCACAACACAGGATTCCAGAATCATGAAACCTGGCAAAAAGAACAGCAGGGAAAGTCAAAGTATGAGACTAAAGTCAGTAAGTGCAAGGGTAAAACAGAGATTTCTGGTCAATAACACTTTAGGAGAACTTAAAATACAAGAAGTCAAAAGAAAAAACTTGCACTATAATAGAGAAAACTGACAGCCAAGTCAAACCATGATTTTCCTGATAGACAGGAAGAAATGTGTAAACTAGTGTAAAGAAGGACTCAGAAACTTTGGTTAATAATCTAAATACTGAAAGAAAAGAGAAACTGGAAGGGAAGTTTGATAATAACTCAAGTGGGAACCATGGCAGCTGAAATAAGTCAATTTTTTGTATGTACCAGAGTAGGTTTTATTACTTTGATAGCAATATTCAGTAATAAAGTCAGATGTGATTTTTGTCACAGACTGGAGCAGGACACCCACAATGAAGTTTCAGCAAGACAGCTGGTGGTGCAAAGCTGAGCAAATGAGAAAAGCCTGAGTGGGAGTCGGGAGATTGGAACTAATAGCTGAATAAATTAGATGTCCAATACCTTCATTTACTGAAATGATTTCATCATGAAATAAATGCATATCCTGTGTTTATTTCAATGTGTAATATGAAATTCAAATCTGCTTTTACATATGTATGTAATCAGTTAGTCTTAAATGCAGCTGTATTTATTGTCTAAAAGTCCTGAATTTCACACTTACAGAGTACCCACTTTAAAAACTAGTAGTTATTCACAGAATTTTCAAACATTTGGAAATCTTACGTAAACTCTCTCTCAAAATCCATTTCATTTGAACATATCAAAATTGTTGACCATTTCCATGGGAAGTCTGAAGCTTTTAAAGGAAGACAAACCTGGGGCTCCAAGGTGCTCCAGGAGCACACTACGGAAATGAACAACTCAGCACTCAAAAATAAATGTAAGAAATTTTGGTCTAAAAACATTCTGTCAGAACTTGAAGGTAAAGTTTTATTACAAAACTTCCGCTTTAACATCAATGCATCATATTTCTTGTCTGTTATATATAAATACATCTTTTTTATACCACAAACAATCTAGAATGACATGGCTGTTCAAGTCACTCCTTTTCCAGTCCAGGCTTTAATGCCAGCTATCTCAATCCTTGATTTCCTAAATTCAAACACAACAGTACCCTCCTAAACCAAGACATGTGCTACCAGTGGTTACTGCAATTAGTCTTCCAGGCTTAAATTTGCAATTCTAACAACAAATCAATAAATATTATACTTGCTGGATACAAAAAGTCTGTTGTTTGTTACCGGTACCCACAAATAAACATGTGCACTGGAAAGAAACCCAACTGCTAGCAGTGTTCTTAAATCATTGTGGTATTGAGTAAACAGGTTGCCCAGAGAGGCTGTCAAGTCTCCACCCTTGAAGATATTCAAAACTGGCTAAACTTGCTTTAGGTGACACTGCTTTGAGCAGAAGGTTGAACTACATGACACCAGAGGACCTTTCCTGCCTCAGCAATTCTTTGATTCAATTTTAAACATACAGATACTATCTATTGGGTTCAAAATACAGTAACAGTCCGTACTTCTTCCTATGAGCATCTTAGGTTAGCTAAACTAAAAGCAAAACAAGACAAAAATAAGTTTTCCAAACATCACTTCTTGCTATTTATCATTAGTTTTTCTTTGGTGCCAGGTCTGCTATGTGTGAATTTCTATAAACTGGTAAAAGTGTTGGTACTGAAAACAAACTCAATTTCACTTCAGATTTAAAATTACCGTATCAGGATGTACAAGAAGATGTTCAAGCAGTAAGAAGAGATCAGATAGTCACATGAAGCCTTATTCCCATGCAGAGCAAGCAAAGGATATGTATAAGCAATAAATCAAGCTACCGCAAACATCAGATTAAAATAAATTCATTTGAAGTCCTAATATTGCTTTCTATTCCATTTTTATGTTATATAATTACAGCAAGAATGGTGACCTAGGTTAACAGTTCACAGAGATCTCTTTCTTAGCATCCCACAAGAACAAAATAACCCAAGTATCATCAAGTCAAAACTTATGACTCAGACTTTCAGCTAATGAACACTGACAGAGTAAATCTACCCCACATCCTTTTCTAAATCACATGCTGGAGCTATGAGGACTGATTTTTACTTTTTTTTTCACTTAGTTAGTTCTTAGAGTTGCAAATTTTATTTAATTATAAATATACTAGTGCATGAGTATTGTGGTGAGATTATAAACACAGACAGCAGGTGCTTAAAATCAATCAAAATGAGACAAAAGTCACATGGGGTTTCTCCTCTTTTTGTATGAAGAAATGAGAAGACATTTCTAAATCTATAAAACCAGAGAACCATTACCTTCTTTTTTTTTCTTTTCCCCCAATTTCATCCCATTTTACTCTTAAGCAGCTTCCCGGAATAGCATGAATTTTTTTCTCTGAACTCATTAAGTTAACATGATGATACAATGTAACACATCTGATGTTTCAGCATAACGAAAGTAAACTCAACTTTTTGCTCTGGTAGTGAATATCAGTTTAAAAACTACTCACCTCTGTGATATGAGGGTTAGGATTGAATCCACACAGGCTGCAGACTACAGTGTGACACTGGGTGCACGTGTTGTAGTTGGCCTTTTCTGGAGTGTGCAGCAGCAGCTCGGTGGTTGTGCAAAGAGGGCAGAAGGTTTTCTTTGGGGCGGACTCAGGGGGTTGGCTGCCACCAGCTGGCTTTTGCTGCGGGGGTTTGTCTGGTCCTGGTTGCTGGCCAGGTGGTTTTGTAGGTCCTGGTTGCTGTGCCGGGGGCTTTGTGGCCCCTGCAGTCTGAGAAGGTGTTTTTGTAGACCCTGCCTGTGGTGGCACTTGTTTCACAGGCCCTGTTTGCTGTGGAGGCGGCTTCCCAGATCCAGGCTGGGGTGGCTGTTTTGCAGGTCCCGTTTGCTGAGCAGATGGCTTTTCGGGTCCAGGTTGCTGAGAAGGCTGTTTTGGAGGCCCTGCTTGCTGGGATGATGGCTTTGCAGGACCTCCTTGTCGTGACGGCTGTTGAGATGGTTGTTTTACAGGTCCTGGCTGCTGTGATGGGGGTTTTGTGGGAGGTGGTGCTTGGGACGTCATTCTAGTGCTGTCTGGTTGCTGTGGGGAGGGTTTTGTTGGGCCTGGTGAAGGTTTTGCAGAAGTTTGTTGTTGAACAGGCTTCGTTGGTTCTGACTGTTGTGGTTGAGATTTTTGTGGTCCTCGTGGCTGGGGCGGTTGTTTCGCTTGCTCTTGCTTAGCATCTGCTGGGTGGCCATGGCCTGGTTTCTGAACTTGCTTTGGTTCCCCAGGCTGCTGCTGAGGCACTGGTTTGGAAGACTCAGTTTGCTGAGGGGTAGGTCTGACAGGTCCTTGTTGTTGAACAGCTGGCTTTGGAGACTGTGGTTGAGTTGGATGTTTCGCAGGGCCCCTCTGCTCCTCGGGTTTCCCTTGCTCTTTTGGGGTTACTTTTTGTTTCCTACTGGCTTCTTCATGAGCTGCATCTGAATCTGATATCAAATCAAAAGGATTGAATTTGTTCACAACTGAAGTGACTGCACTCAGTGGATTGGCTTCTGAGAGAAAACTGGGCATCATACTTGGCTTCTGATCTTCTTTAAAATCAGTCCTGGACTTTGATTCCCGTAGACTAAGAGTAGAAGGGCTCCGTCCAGGTGCCCGTTGTTCTGTCTTCAGCACATCTACTGTTCTGCTTTTACTTAAACCTGATGGTCCTGGATCTGGAGGCTTACCTGGTTGTCTGGGACGGTGGCTTGTATCAGGCTCAGGATGTCTGCAGACAGAAAACATAATAAAATTAAAATAATGCAGAATTCTAGAAAAATGAGATAAAATAAGATGTATCAGTGACCCTGGAAGTGTTCTGGTAATGCTATGAAGTTTCTCAGGTGCTTCAGTGTTTGCAAGACCAACGCTTATAGAAAGTGGATGTAAAAAGTATTTAAATAATAATTATTGTTTCTTGAAAGCTTATACAAGTATTCAGTCACAGATTGATTTATTATTTAGAAAACAATCTAATAAGACAACATCATTCAACCAGATAATTTTTTCTTCAGAAATCTGAAGAACTCAAAGCTACAACTTCCTATTATACCTATATCCAAATGAATAACTCTCCACACTATCCCTTGGGATACAAACACAAGAAGAAAGAGAAGCCTGAAAGGGACAGAAGTGTAAGAAAATTACCAGATCAAAGCACAGCCATAGAAGAAAAACAATGCACAATGCATTGTGTACTTGTGATCTGGCTACTTGTACAAAATTTGGATATATTTACAATTCAATATGCAGCAGGGATTTAAACCTCACAAAATCCACGTATGTTAAGGAGTACATGTCTCTTTGTAAAGTATTTTTTTTTGTCACCCATCCCCTCAAAGATTAGAATTTTCCATCAGATAAATAGGGGTCAGTTCACAGAATTAGCCCCAAAACCTTTTTTTCCTTGCAAATAGAACTTCTGTACAACTTCCTCTCAGCATCATCCCAACCTTTTGCAGCATTAAATGCCCAACATTAAAATGAAAAATCTCTCATTACATTAGAGAATTTGGAAAAATCCTTACAATAATATTTTGATGCATGTTTATACGGGAGAAAATAAAACTAAGAATGTAGGAACCAAAATCAAGACCATGTCTTCATATGTGGCACAGTATGCTACTTGTTGCTAGACTTGGCTGCAGCTGGGGGAAATAATATTGTATTCAATGCTAATGCTCAGGGAGGTAATAAAATATTCTATTCAGTGCTATCACTGAGCTTCTGCTGGAAGATACGGTGTTCCCTTCAGTGTCACAGAAGTGTTGCAAATATAAAATTTTCAGTTTCCACTTTGAGAGAACCAGTCAACTGTGATCTTGTTTTTCCAGACATGACATTTTTTCTTGGGCATTCATGAGCAAAGTAAACAATTGCTCATTACATTTAACTGTATTCCTTGACTAACAAATAAATAAATAAATAAATGCCCAATGTTGTTTAAAAGTTTTGTCAGAAGTCTGCAGAATTATATATAGCAGCAACATTGGAAAATGTATTTTACACTGTTAATGTCATGATGGGTTTACTATCTTTTCTGATTAATATTTAGAGATTCCATGACATGCCCAGCAATGGTAATACAAAAGGACAAAGCCAAGTAGACATTTTTGTGCATGTAGTTCTCACAACACATGATTTCTCATAATCATGTGCCTGAGTTTTTCTGTTAATTAAAAATTTCCACATGAAATCCTTGTTAAGGACAAATTATTTCCAGCCTTCATTAACTTCATTTACCCTTTCCTGTTCTTGTAAAATTATTGGCCATAATACTTCAAAGTTTACAACCTTCATGTGCAACCCACTGAAGTGAGTAGGTGTTTTTCCATTGGCGTCAGCGAACATTGATTAACTCATTACTCATAAAAAGGATAGTTCGGAAAAGCCTCATGATAATCTAATTCTTTCAAATATTTGGCATTTTTGTTTGTTAAAAGAGTAATTTTATACTCTCATTAGCAACTAGGTAGGTCTACCTGCAGTTCTGTTTCTTGTTATTTAGATTAGCACTACAGGTTTATCTGAAGAGACACTGCTCACTACATGACATCACTTCAACTAGTCTGTTAGCAGCAGGCTGGTACACTTCCAACAGTCATGTTTGCAAGTGTTCAAGCTGTTGGAAGGCTTCATTCAACAATGATGAGTGACAAGGGGAAAAAAAAAAAAACATATAAACCCTCCCCTAAAACTGATTTTAGAAATTCAACTTGGACATTAGCAGGAAAAAGTAAGTGTGGATGCCTACTGGAACAGAGTTCTCCAGCTTTCATTTTTATCAAAATAATGTGCTCCATAAATTTCCACTTGATCAGATATCAGGATCTGAAATGACATTAAAAACCACGAATCTAGGAAATAAACCCAGGTGACTGCAAGGTTGCTGGTGTATTCTGAAGACCATACTTGTCTTGTCTTTGTACATAACAATGTTTCTAAGCAATGGAGACAGAGCATGGCTAACTAGTGGAAGAAAAAGGCTTGAAAAGACAAGCTTCTTGAGAAATGTTACTTCTGTCAAAAGCCAGGACTTGCTTCATTTAGTTTAAGGTGCCTGGGAGTTGAAGTCTTCTTTTCTACAACTATTTTACAACCAACTACAGAATGATATTGAAAAATTTCAATTGAAATGGAGAATCAGAATCATCAAAATAAATCTTGTATTTATTTGACAAGAATTTTCTAACTTTCAAACCTTCTGAGTCATGAAAAACCCACAATAGTATTAAAGTCTCCAAACCAGACCCAACAAGCAAAATAATCTAGTTCTCCCTCACACAATGCTTTTCTTTGTGCTGCTGTGTTTCTCCTCACTTTGGCCTTGTTCCACAGGAATAATCTTCACTCATTTACATATTACAGAAAAATCAAAGCTTACTTTGGAGTAAGAGGAGATTTAACAAAAAGACTATTGGTTTAGTTCTTGAATTCCAAAATATAAAAACCTATTAAAAAGTCACATCTTTTTCCCATTCATCAGTATAAATAGTTTTAAAGAGAAACACAGTAACTACACAACTCCAAGATAGTTAGATCTTTTCGTATCTACAGACTATATATATATATAAATATATATATAAACTTACCCATGCCCCAATGGCTAACTGTTGGGTTTTTAGTCAGTAGAGTGATGACATTAAAAATAATATATATTACTCCTGGAAAATACACCATAAACATACTTTAGAAGTGTGACAGTCAGCAAGACCTCTTAGCATTTCCTATCAAAATGCAGCAATTTTTTTTTTACTGTTGATTTCTATTGTGACTAACTTAATGAACTGTGGGGAGAAAAACAAACAAACAACAACAACAAAAAAAACCCACAACCAACCAACCAGCTGTATTAAACGCTCATATACTCATTTGGTCACCTAATCCTTTCAGACATGGAACGATTCCTCAGGAAGTGGACACTGACACAGTCACAGAGTCATTCGATGAAGCCAGAACAACTGGAACTTGCTTACAAACTGACTGTGTACGTTTCAGCTAAATTTCCCAACCATGAGTTTTCTGAAGACAGGTAACTGAAATCGGATAGAAAGATTTCCATAGATCCTAAACACCTAACCAGAACCTAGCTAATAAAATGCTCAAAAAAACCACTAAAATTAAAAGGTACATTTGAGTTAGGCAGTTTACTTTAGGTGCTCTAGATCTAAATGCTTATATTAATATTCATAAATCTTAAAAGCTCAAAGCCTACAGAAGTCCTAGAAGGTAGAGCATTTATTTTAAGGTGGCACAGATGCAACTATGTTACCTGCTACAGATATATATCTTACTAGTAGAAATTCTGTAGTCGCAAAAATTGTTTCTTCAGGATACTATCAATCATGAGGAATTTATACACTTTAAGACTTGGGTTACTTTGGGAGCAAGAATGAAAGCATTTAGAATAAGAAATAATTATTAGTCCCTAATGTTACAATGGAAATCACAAAGGAAAAATCCATGTTAGCAACATGAAAAAAACCTAACAGACACTGCAATAAGGACACTGTCACAATGCAAAGCTATATGAACTGGAAGCCAGAATTCCTCTTTTGATCACTGTTTCAGTCACTTTATATTTGGACTGGCATAACCAGGCTAGGAAAAAAAAGCTGTTGGGAACAATTGTAGAGCATCAGTTGAGAGGCATTTTCCACATCTGATTTCTTTGGCCACACTGACTAAAACAAAAAGCTTGAAGCTAAGGAATCTGAGTCTCATCAGGCTAGTTCCAGTTTTAGTCTGGAAGAGGGTGCTCCTTAATCCTTAGAAGAGTCTTACTCCATAGGTTTGGATCAGCTTCTTGGTAATTATTCCTAACATTCTTGGTAGATCTTAGAAAGAGAGGTGCACAAGAGGAGCAAGTAAAGCCACAAACCAAGAGCAGAGACAACTAGTAACTTCATTACGGTGTGATAGGCACAAAGATTCTATGATGGGAACGGCTACAGTTTCAAAATGTCAACTTTGACTATAAGGTAAAAGGCTGTAATTACTTTAAATAGAGAGGGAAATGATTATATGCTAACAAGATCAAAGTATGTTTATAGGAAAGTAGCCATTTATCAGTGCAGAGATATCCACATTGTAATGAGTTTAACCTATTCTAAAATATTCCAAGAATCTTACTTTTTACTGGAAAATTAGCATGAAAAAATAAAGTTTCAAATACTTGTGTCTTTGCTCATAGACTGTTATACAAAAAGGAATTTTGATCTTAGTTTCAGAGAACTAAAGAATATTTATTTTTCTCATTAACATCCATAGAATCTGGGCAGAGTCCTGAATTGAATGGAAAATTGTACTTTACACACAGTGGTAATGCCTGATTAATAATTATGGAAGACGTGAAATAGGAAGATTTGACTTCCAGTCTTAAAAAATGGAGACTGTCATCTCAGGTATAATCCCAGTGACTCCAGTAGTTTGCCCAAGAACGAATTTAGTCCCCACCCTCCTTGCCTCTCCTCTTCTAGAATTCACTTATATAAACCTGATATTATATAAACTCATCATGCCTTTATGTGGGGTGAGGTCAATACACCGTGAAACAGCCGGTCGAGGAGGCTCCTTTCAGCATCCAAGACAAACAACACATCCAGCCCCGGAGCCGGAGAGCAACAGAGGCACCGGCCCTGGATGACGGGCCGGGGTAGGAGGAGGTTCAGGACCGCGGACAGCGACACGGGGCCGGGGAGGGATGGAGATTCAGGACCGCGGACAGCGGCGGTACCCGGGGAGGGAGACTCGGCCCCGGGCCGGGCGGGGAGCTGGCTTGTTGCTCGTCGGGCACTGAATTCACTGGGAGGCAGGGAAAGAACGTGGAAGGAAATCACCCCAGCCTTCGCAAAGGCACAACCTCGCAGAGGTAAAGCCATCACTATCCAGAACACTGGATGCCGTGGCAGTCAATTTAAACTGATAAATGGCTTCTCCTCCTTTCAAAAAAAAAAAAAAAAAAAAAAAAAAAAAAGGAAACCGCGATGAAACAGACCTCCTCAATCCATGACTATTTAATGAGGCCAAATGATAGCTGTAGAGGTTCCGAATTGGCAGAGTAATGGCCAGCAAATGCATTATGCCGAAAAGCTTTGGAAGATTCAACAAGAATCCCTCTCCACACAGAGACGCTTGCAGAGCCCATCCGCCCTGGGGAGAGCTTCCCTGGCTACTGTGGAAGTGGGGCATCCAGCCTCGTAAAGCACACACCCGCACACGGAAAACCAGAGCGGCGTCTGCACATCTCTCCGCGCCCCAGACATAGAACTGCCGGTGCTCTGGATCGGTGAGAGGGGAGGGAAGGAGAGAGGGAGCAGTCCCCCAGCCAAGGACCGCCGTTATTATTAGGGATCACTGGAGTGGGAAAAGCCGGGGAGTGCGGGCTCCGTCCTGGTGCCCGCGCCCGTGCAGCCGCCCCTTCCCTCCCTCCGCCGGCAACATGGAACGCCGGCTCCCGGTGCGGCGGGCCCGGATCGGATTGCGACTCGCCCCCCGCCCCACCGAGAGGAGACGGAGAAGGGGGGGAAGGGAGGAGCAGGAGAAAGGAGATTTTTTTCCGTGCATGCCTTTGCATGGGAGGCGGCTCCGCGCCGGCGAGGTTCCCTCTGGGCAGCCCCTGCGCCCTTGACATGACAGCGGCGATCTGCCTCCTCTCCTCCTCGCTCAGCTGGCTCAGGTCCGCCTCCACCCCGGCCGGGACCAGGCGCTGCAAGGGGGCCGCGGAGCCGCCGCCATCCCCGGCCGCCGCCGCCCCTTCGGGGAAGGCGCCCATCCCTTCGCCTCCTTCCAGGCTCGCCTCGTTGCCCATGGCCGCCGCGGCTCCGCGCTCGCCGCCTTGGGTGCAGACCGGGCTGGGGGGCGGCTCGCAGCCGCGCTGCCCGGAGGGCGCTCAGGGTTCCGCGGCCGCCGCCGCCACCACGGCCCCGCTCGGTGGCGGCAGCGCCGTGGCCGCGCTCAATGGCCGTGGCCGGGCTCAGTGGCCAGGGCCGGGCTCAGTGGCCGCCGCCGCGGCTGCCGGGGGAGTGCGGCGGTGCCGCCCGCTCCGCCGCCCCGCGCAGCGCATGCTCCGGGCGGGCGGGTCCCCCCGCGGGCCGGGCCCGCCCGCGCCCCGGACTTTAAAGGCACCGCCGCCCCCGCCGCCTCCCCGAGCGCCCGCCGCGTCCTGGAGGAGCGGGCGGGGATGCGCTGCCCGACCCCGCAGGGTGCTGCCTCCCGTTCTCCTTCCCTCCGCGCACAAGGGCGAGAGAGGCTCCTTCAAGCTTTGACTGCTCGCTCGCCCAAAGCACGAACTGAGAGGGGCTGGAAGACGCACCCGTAGGATAGCCCTCCACGGAACCCCTTCAGCCGGGTTGCTCCGGACCCTGAGCAGCAGAGTTTTGAACGTCCCTATGGATGGAGCTTTCACGGCCTCTCTGAGTCCCTGTCCCGCCCTCGTGATGACTGAATGCAGCATGTCAGTGTCATTCCAGGATCGGCGAGCCCCAAACTTGTCACTGCATTCCTAATGCGGTTTCACAGCTGCTGAATATATTGAGGAGAATCACCTTCTCTAACCTGCTGGCCACACTTGAGGTACCAGAGGTCGGTCTGCTATTGGCATCCTTCATCACAACAGCCTACTGCTGAAATGTTTCACCTGGACTTTTTCTGCAAAGCTGCGTTTGGGCCAGCCTATCCTGGTGCATGGAGTTACTCCGTGCCAGATATAAAATTCTGCACTCGCGGTTGTTCAACTTCATGAGGTTCCTGCCTGCCCACCCTACCACCTGTCAGGGGCCCTGCAAGCAGCGGCCCTGCCCTTCAATGTATCTACTGTTCTCCAAGCGGCCATCACGCACAGACTTGCCGAGGGTGTATTCCATGCCGTTGCCCACATCATTAGCAGAGACATTGCGTATCATTAGTCAGAAAGATACAAATAGTAACATGCCACCAGCTGGACGTGAAACAATGAACCACAACCCATTTGAGCGTGATGGTTCAGCCTATTTTTCATGCACAGTACAGGTCTTACTAATTTGAGTATAAGGATATTATAGTTGATCGTGCTGAAAGCCTGATGGAGTGATTTGCCTGGGGTTAAACACATGCTGTCTGTTTTAATAACCTTCCTGTCCTTTGCTTCCAAGAGGACCTGCTCTGTATCTTTTCCAGGAAGGGTACTAGCCACATTAGCCCAACTGCCTTGTAGTTCTCTTGTGGATCCCCTTTTTGAAGATGTGTGCAGTGCTTGCTTTTTTTCTGGTCATTAGGGAACTTTCCCAATGTTTGAAGATGACAGAGTGACTTTGAAACAGCATCAGATAGCTCCCTCAGCACCCTTTGATCCACCCCATCTAGTGCCATAGGCTTCTGCATATTGAACTGGTTTAAGTGCTCTCAAAGTCTGTCTTACTCTGCTATACCTCATGCTTTCACTCCCATGTATTCTGATGCTTGGCTTAGGGATCTGGGAGACTAGAGGGCAACCCTAATCCAAAAAAACCATGTCAAAGAGCCACTAAGTACCTCAGCCTTTCTATGTCTTAGCCACTAATTTTCCTGCCTCAATGATTGGGGCCAAACTTTTACCAAATCCTTCCGAGAGATCTTACTAAATTGTGTCTATACTTTGCATATTCCAATGTGTTTGTTAAACAACTAGATCTTCACAAATATCAATTGTGTTAGCTAGAAGAATGTGACAGTACTTGATGCTCTCGCTTGTCTCCTTCTTTAGCACCATTACTTTTCTCCAGGCACAGCTGTATGCAGATGAGCTCCCAAAATGACCTACATAAGGATGCTGTGCAAATATTTATAGTACTCCTGTATTGTAGCAATCAGAGATCATTTTTCCAGTAGTGGTTCACAGCAAATGATGAAACCAGTAGCAGCTGGGGGCTTCCTGCTTTTCTCTTAAGTGCCTATAAGTTACACATCAAAAGAACAACTCAGCAGAGAACATGATAAAGCACAGAGGGAAAACTCTTTAAGTGGAGTATCATGACATGAGTGTGGCTGCCTCTCCACATGGAGTTCTAGGTAAAGACATCAGAAAAGCCAGTGGGAAGAGGTAACACATAACACAGTCACAGCTGAACAAGGGTGGATTCACTTGGCATGTGAAGGAAAGACACAAATTTCATTTAATGGTTTTACAGGGAGGCAAATACACATCCCTGTTCATTCAACACAAGTGAACATCATGTACTTATTTATGAATAAATGTGAAAAGTGCTGCTGCGTAGAAGAAGGCAAGTGCAAAACAAAGATAGGGAACAGGGATTTAATCAGTGAAAACATTTGGTTTTCTGATACATAGTAATGTAAACATTAATAATGCTCTTAGATACTCAATACTTAAATATCCTGTAGAGGGTGATACTCCTGTCCTTTAGCTTGGTAGTCTGAAAGATTATTAAGTTCCCAAATGAAATTTTTCTAAACAAACAACCTCACTATGTTTTTTATTCAAAGCCAAATAAGTAAATAGAGCTTTTTACTCAGACCTAGAAGTTGTCATGTTTAAAATCAGATGCACTATGTTAGATGTAGATACAGACAAAACAAGGGAGACCGAAACACAAAAAATTCACTCAATAAAACAATTTAAACTGGGGAAATATCAGTTCTTCTAGTGCTTATTGTTCAAAACTATATATACTGTTCCTGTTTCACTGTTAGGATGTTCTGAGAGGAAAGAGACATATAATGCCTAAAGAAGCAAACTGAGCCCAAATGGAGGTGAAGGATGACAAATGACCGTGGATGCAAAGTTCATTATTGGCTTCACTGGAGCCAAAGATGTCACCTTAAAAATTATTATGATTTCAAATATCTTAGGGATTTTCGTGGAAACTGTCTCTTTTCACTTTTCTGTGACATTTACTTTTTCTTATGAACCAGCAATAAATTGACAGTTATCTATTCCAGAAGTCCCACTGCCGGCCTGTCTGCCCTACGTTCTGTCATTTCCACATCTTCCTCCCTATATGCTTCACAGTCTGTCCAAAAGTGACAAGAACACACTAATTTTGGTGTTACGGATGAAACTCAAAAACTAATGAGGCACAATGTTCTGTTGTAGTGAGGAAAGAAGAGTTATCAAATGAATCAGCCTATTTCTCAAAAGTCTTAATATCTAACTTGCAAGAAACAGCTTAGTGGTGTCAGGATAAAAACCCTTATTAAAAAATTGCCTAATCTCTAACACTGAAAAATATGATTAAAACCTTTTCAGAGATAAAACAGTCTTTTAAAAAACACATGCAAATTAGAAAAGTTGCTGTAAATTTAGAGGCAGAGATACAGAAGCAAGTCACCTTCCCTTTGATATTAGGTAATATAAAAAGGATAATCATGGACAGAGGCAAATCCAACTACTCTTTGAGGACTCGCTCAGTTTTTGTAGAATTTTCATTGTATCCAAAATAGATCAGCACAATCCACAAACATTTATATCTTTTACACTGAGTCATTGAATGATATTTTTATCCCTGCAAAACAAAGACACAGTATATCTGAAGTGCTGTAACTTCGTTCAGACTAAAGACTGTGCTATATCAGTAATGCAGTATATTCATGTGGGCCCAAACAGTTTGGTGTGCAAACTAGGTGCATCAGATCTCCAAAGGAGCCAGTCCAAGTCAGAGCTAAGTATGCAGAAGCAGCACAAGGATGCTAGTTCATCTTTTACCAGTGCTGAATCTGATCTGGAGCAAGGGAATCTCAGTTAAGTGTTATCTGCAGCACTAAAATGAGTGCTTGAAGTTAATTTACTGATTAACAACACTGAAGACATCCAATCTTCTCATTAGTAGACTACTTACTATAGATGTGCTCTTTATATTTAGTTGAGAAAAAGCCATTTAGCGCATAGAATTTGGAGAAGTAATGCTAAGATCATCAGAAGAAAGGAATAAAAAGTCAGTAACACCTTGGCATGAACTGGCAAAAAAGGAGAGGAAGGAAAACTTTTATATCTTAATAATATGCCTGGCATTATGCCCAGATAAAAATGAAAGAAGAAGAAGGTATGTTAATCATTAAAGATTAACAAAGACTGTACTGATCAGTACCAGAAAGAAAGGTAAAGAGGAGCTAGAATTTGCATAAATATATTTATAAAACTTTACACATTAATAATTTTATATTCTAGCTTGTACAAATACCAAGTTGAAAGTTACAGTGCCCCTAACACATTTATCTATCCCATTTCAGTGATCCAGGAACTGTGGAGGGTACTTTGAGTGTAAAAGACATGGCTAAGATGCAATCAACAGTTCAGTCCATCTGCTATACAGAATGATAGTTGTTTCCAGTGACGCTTCTTCTCTCACAAGTATTAATTCTGTATCAAAACTGCACTTGTCTACAGACAACCAGAATTTGGCTAAATACTGCACAGCAAACGTTCTTCAAGATCATGATGACTCTCCAGTCTCAGCTAACTTACTAGTCACCAAAACAACCAGTACAAGATGATAACAAGATACCTTCCAAAGCATTGCGTATTGCTGTTCAATTCTCTCTCTACACAGAATTTTCTAATCCATCACTTTGTACATGCCAGTTGAGAAAACATTGAAATAGTGACCTAATCTGTTCAAAAAACCTTGCAAAACCCCATCTACTTTAGGAAAAAATACCATACACAACCCAAAACTGAACATAGCATAAAAACTCCCAGGTAGGATAAAACACCCTGGGCAGAATTATTTGCAGTATTCTAGAGTTCCTGAATGTCTGGGGTTTTGGAATACCAGGCACTCTGATACAATAACATTAATGTTACAGCATTCTATATATGATTAAACAAATCACTTT